GCAGGTTTCTGGCATTCTGGAGGCAGAAAGTGGCTGCATTTCAGTCGCGTTCCCCGCGAGACCCTTCCCTACCAGTCGCCGCAGCAGGCAGCGGTCGTGAGGTCTGTCTTCAGCATCACTCATGTCAGGCTTTGACTGAAACGCATTTGATGTAAGGGAGAGGGAATCAGACCCCTGTGTAAAGGCTGGGGGTTTGCAGCATTCACGTGGGATGCTGAAGTCTGCCCCTGGGTACTTGAGGCTCCAACTGACTGCTGAATTGCAGCGCAGGCTATGCTGTGGGCACCTGAAATCTTCTGCTATGAGGAGCTGCAGTTCTGGTGATGGTACCAGCGGCTGTTTGTCTGTGCCCCCCATCACCTGCCTCCTAAGCAGCAGCCGCGCAGCCCCACATCGCTGCTACGTGTCCCTTCTGCTTACGGCAGCGTGCAGCCCCATCTCAGTGGGTCGCTTGGGGCTGGGGCAGTGCACCATGAGGCTGAGCTGCCTCAGCCCTGAAGAGCTTGCTCCCTGATTTGATTTCATTTGGGTGATGTGCTCAGGAGCTAGCGCAGGTGCATAGTTTGAAGCTGAATAATGTAGATTTTCCTTGTTGTTTTTCTGATTTTAGTTAACTGGCTTCATCCTGAGCTTTGGAGATGTGGCTTGCTGGTTTTGAAGGGTCTGTTTCTTGCGTGCAAGGCTGATGGTCTGGGCCAGGGCAGCTATCCAGCATGGTGTAATACCAGGTGGCTTGTGAAGGACAAAGACAGCAAAGCGTTTCTGGGACTGGAAGATGGAGATGACCCAGCCTCTTCCCTGCACTTGGATGTCAAGCCGCTCCCAGCGACAGGGATCCAAATCTTCCTCTCATGGCTGGGTGGCTTCCACAGTTTTCCAAGCCTGCTCCTGACCTGGGCCCACTGCTGCCCTCGGGGAAGCGTGGGTTGGCTGGGCATCGGTGGGTGGGCTGTCGCAGGAGGCACCAGAGCGAGGATGTGCGTAGCAGGGTCGTGCTGCAGAGCTGCCGGGGGGACGCTGGGGACAAACGTCTGTGCTGGAGGACAGGATCCTCCCACCAGTGCTCTGAGAGGTTTTGGGGGACCTCTGTGTTGGCTGTATTGCCCCAGTTCTGACAAGCTTTCCAACAGCTTATGAGGCTGCTCCCGTGGCATCATGTGGATTCACTTCTGTCAGAGCGGATGGATGCCCCAGGGACTAGCCTGAATAAAGCTCTGCTCTTGTGGCCAGCGGAGAGCCGCTGCCAGAGGTGTGTGTGGGACAGGAGGGTGTAACCCTGGCCGTGGCAGCTCGGCCTCGGCATCACCGGGCCGGTTCTCGAACCGTTTATGGCTCTCGATGGTGTGGTCTAGAGAGAGGGAACTCTGGCCTGTTTGTTTATACTCTGCCTACATGGTTAGAAGGGACGCAGTTCCTTTCACCCAGGGTTATATTTTGGGAAGCTGCTGTTTTATCAGGAGAACAAGGTCTTGACATTGAGACTTCCAAAAGTGGTTTTGGTTACTTTGCTTTGGTTTTGTTTTGGAAATATTCCCCCTCCTTTGCCTGAGTAAAGAAGCTTAATTTCTATCAACAGAAGTGGAAAAGGTGCTCAATTCTACTTCTTGCTCATCTTCTCTTTGCATCTCTTCCTGCCCTCTGCAAGCCCTCCTCCCACCCCCCCAAATCTACTGATGTGCCGGAGCCCCTGACAACCCATGGTTTTTCTGCTTCCTTAATTTCTATTTCATGACATTTACTGAATCTATGAAATTCTGCAAAACTTCCACAACGTACATTTGTGTGGGAACAACAGGAAGGTTGGTATGAAAGGAACAAAGTCCTGACCAGAGGCAATGGGAGAATTGAGGGCCCTGGAGAAGGTTCTCCGACACATCAACAGATTTGGCGGGGGTGGGAGAGATTTGCAGAGGGCAGGAAGAAATGCAAGGAGAGGAAGAGGATGAGAAAAACTTAAGATTGACCAAAACACCAGCAAAGCAATGCAGAGGAAAAGGAACAACGTGCAGCTTGGGGCTGCAGAGTTTTTTAGTTGTTTTATTTCAGGTGTCTTATACCTGCCCTTGAGCAGGTGCCAAGGCTGTGCTAGAAATTTTAGGTCGGGATGGGGACTACATCACGCTTGTGCTGTGTGCTTCGGTAGCGGGAAATTCGTGTGGCACCCACTGGACGTCGCTCCCTCGCCTCTGCCCGCACATGGAAGGTGCAGCAGCGCTGGCAGCAAGGTGCCTCCCAGCATATGTCTTTAAAACTCTGCTAAGCAGAGTTGAAGCCTCTTCTAAAGGCAGCTTGTGAACCTTTCCGGCATTTGCATTTTGAAAAACAGTCATAGCTCACAGTGCAATTTATCGTAGTAACTTTCTGAGCAATTAATCCGCCTGTGTCCTGCCAGGTCTCCCGCAGTTCCTTTGACAGTTCATCACAGGGCATGGAAATTTGTCAATTTTAATTCTCCTCACTAATTTTCTAGGTTATGTTTTCTTCTGGTAAACCCAAACGCTGATGTGAGCAATGTGGAGTAGGTCAGAGAGTGAGTTGGGCGATGTCTGGAGAAGCAGGAGCTGGCACTCGCCAGCCTTGCCCTCGGCAGGGAAGCCAGAGAGGCATGTCGGCCATCCCGGCCCCGAGCTAACGGCCCCGTGTCACGAGCTTCCCCGGCACGTCGGGCCACGCCAGCAAGCTCTGAGCTCCACCAGCAATTTTCTGACAGGAGTTAGAGGAGGAAAAGGCAAAACTCAGCTGAGTGTGGGCAGGGGGAAAAGGAAAAACAGATGGTTCTCGGGACATGCAAGAGCCTTTTTTTTTTTTCTTCTTCTTCTTTCTCAAGGGCACAGCCTTCGAGCCTCCCAGACGGGTAATTCTTGTTTATACGCCCACAGAAGGTGACAGTCCTGCTTGTGGGCCTCTTGGTGTGTCTTCCCAGGCACGGTGTGTTTGTTTTGTAGGTTAATGTCAGGAGCTGCATCGCTCTTTTTTTGGGTTTCTTTGGTTTTGTGTTTGGTGTGGTGTTTGTTTTTTTGTTGTTGTTGGTTTTTTTTTTTTTTTTTTTGTTAAAACCAGGATGAGTGTGAATGTGGGGAAGCTCGTTGTAGGCAGCGATTCTGCTTTGGCTGGGGCTGTAAGAGCTAAGGGGCTCCTTCACTTCAGATGTCTGAGTTTGTCCCATCTGCGGTTGGACCCACGGCATATTCTGTCCTACAGCTCCCCAGGGCCTCCTGTGTGGATGAAGAAAAAGCAGCATCAGAGGGTAGCATCTTCCCTTAACACCTGGATTTACAGCAGAAGTACAACTTCCCCATGAGGATGAGTAGACACTGTCGCAGTAATGTCCTCCTTATGTCGCAAGAACCTATCTGAAGACACCCCTTGCCCTAGAGGCCGAGGTCTGACATGGCCAGGCTGGAGGTGGAGACCAAGAGTTTGGGGCTGGCAGAGGTCCCTGGTTCCTGGTGTTGCCCAAGATCAGTCAGAACAGAAAAGGAGCAGCACCACGCTATTGCCTGGTGCTGGAGGGCAATGAACCTGATTGCAAAAACTCATGCACCTTTCTAGGCACAAGGAGAAGTGGTGGCCGTCAGACACCACTGTTCCCTCTCGTCCTCCATCTGATATTTGGCCTTTTCAGGTTTTGTGCGAGAGAGGCTGAATGTGGGGTAGGGGATCTGCTTTTCTTGGCTCCCCTGCACTGAGTGCTTACAATTCCTGTTGTTCTTCCTGGCTTTCCAGAAAGCTACTATGCAAGCATCTTGTTTTACCCTCTGGTGGCCAAAGATGTTGGGCTTTGATATTCCCTTCTACTCTCCTCCGGCTGGAGGAGAGCGTGGCATCCAGCGCTGGGCTGCTCTGTTCACTTACAGCTTGGGAGAGGGGGTCTCTAGGTGCAGGTGGTTGCTCTTTTAAGCTCCCAAATCCTTTCTTTGCCCGCCATGTGCCTTGCTGGGGCACCTCTCCAGCTTCCCTAGCACTGGAGCATGGCAGTCCTCACTGCAGCAGATCAAATAATTTCTCTTGCAGCTGTTAGGGCTGAGTCCCTCACCCACACCCCCAACTGCATGCATGTGGTGTATTATTTATTGATTTTTTTTTTTTTTAGACTCTGAAATTTCTTTTTTCTTTCTGACGGAGTTGGAGCTTTTTGTTCCAGTTGAGAGCTGTTCAAAATAGACTCTCAGGTGGGATTGGTTCTTCTGACATAAATGTGTGTCAGTGTTACCAGGGATATTCTGTGGCAGGGCTTTCTATGCCATTGCTGAAGGTCTTAGTTAATTAGATGATTAGTCTTCTGGTCAAGTATCTATCTGCAAATAAAAAATAGCAGTTGAATGTAGCTGCTAAAATACTGTTGCTGGAATCAGTCTGTGGCACAGAGCAGGAGGGCTTCTTATTTAATTAAAATCAGGAACATACTGTACTGTACTCTCCAAGGGTCAAGGAACAAAAAAGGGACGTACACATAATAAGTAGCAAACTGTCCTTTCAAACCCCTTGAGCTCAGCCCAGGAGAGCTGTGTTTAAAGGGACACTCTCAACATAATATTTATGATTTCCTTTTTTTTTTTTTCATTTTCTTTTCTCTTTCTTTATACTGCTGTGTGGATTATTGAAGCTGAAAGTATCCTGTGACTTTTCATTTTCTTCTTACCTGTTCTTCCTCTTGGATTTGAAGTCATCAGGACTGCTTGGATGCCAAAAACCCCTGTGTGCGTGCTCGGTGGCTGGGTTGAGCTTACTGGGGTCCCACATCAGGAGCCAGCCTGCGAGCAGCCCCAGTAAAAGGCTGGAGGCAGGTTGGACTGGGGGCCGAGCTACCATCCCAACACAGTGCAGGACTGGGGGTTACTGGGAACCCTTTTGGGGCTGGGAAGCACTCAGCTGTGTGGTCCAGCACCCAGCGCTTCAAAGGAGGAGTATCTATATGGTTTCTTCTGAGTTGCTGGGGTTCACTGCTTGCTTGAAAGCTGCCACCAGCCTAATGAGCTCTTCTGTGTTTGCTTCCGCAGGACGTCGCGCTGTTGGAGTACCAGCATCATTCCAGGGATTTCGCTTCCCACCTCCCGCCAGGGTCTATCATGCAGCCGCAGCGGCGGAGGCCGTCCTTGCTCTCCGAGTTCCAGCCAGGCAATGAAAGGTACCGGCTCCCTGCCTCCCCCGAGCCGCGGGCATCCCGACTGCAGTACCAAGTATCCTGCACAGCGCTGTGATGCAGAGGAGGGCTCTGAGACCCGGGCGATGTTACGTTGTGTATTGCTACTGAGTGTGCTCAGTCTCTGTGCCGCTCTTAGCTTCATTGTGCTAATGCAAGTGGCACCTTTGCCTTCTGGTTTCTTCCCTTGGACTGTCATGCATTTTAAAGATGTCTTAAAAACCCCAAACAACAAAAAAACCCACCCCCCTCACTTCTGTGGAGCTACACGTTGCTGTGACTGGTTGTGTCAGCTTTCTTCAACGTAGAAAATAAAGCTGTGTGGTTGGGTTTGGTCTGTGGCTCCCAAGGCTGAAGGGAGGAGTGAAAAGAGCTCATTTCCACCGTGCATCTCCGCTTCCTTTTCTGCTGCTCTTCCTCCCCGCTTTCATTGTTTTTGTTTCTCTTTCTGCATTCCCCTTGCAACTTTCTCCGAGCTGCTTTTTTCCTGTCTGCTCCCCTCGTGGCTCTCTGCAGTGCCGATTGCTTTCGTAGCCTCCCATGGGAGGCTGGCACTGTTTTTGGGTGTGACCCAAGCAAGCGCCGCATGGCTGGAAAAGCTGTAGATGCTTTAACCACAGGAGCTGATCTGTTCTGAAGGCCATCACTCACTCTCTGTCTCATCACAAAATGCTGCGCTCTCATAGTTTCTCTTCTGCATTTGATGCTTAGTGGTTTTGGAAAAAAACTGGCCTGGAAGTGAAATAAGAGCCTTGCTACAGTAGATTTATGCAATTTTTTTTATTTTTATGCTTATTCCTGTGTCAGGCTAAGAATAAGAACAGTGCAGAGTCAGAGAGATGAATCTGTTTCTCTAAAATAATTGTTAGGGGAGAGGAGAAAGACCTCGGGGGTGCTGGATGCATAAGGGCATAGATGCAGACAGGACCCTCTTTTTCTAGTGGGATGGATTTGGCTTGGTGCTCAGCAGGACCAAACCCATGAGAATTTGGAGGCAAAAAGCAGCCTCCAAAGTTACTTTTGCATCTGCTCTTCTGGGTTGTGCCTGTGGCACCTGCATGTACGGAGGGTAATGTCACTTCTGATGACTAGTGATTTATCACCACGTGTTGCGTTGCCTTGGCTTGCTTTGATTTCTCAGCGCTTTTCTTCCTTAGCACAAAGTAACGTGGTTAAGTTGGAAGTGGGTCAGATTCGGGTAAATTTGGGGGAGATGGGTAAAGAGGACACGGCAACATGCTCGTGCCTGGTTTTGTTTTTCACTCTACTTACCGTTTGCAAAATGGAGAACCAGTTCTTCTCTCCAGTGAAATGAAGGTTTCAAGGTCTGAATATGCTATTTAAAAAAAAAAAAAACAACACATATCTTGGTTCTTCTGTATAACAAAAAAACCCAACTGCAAGCCTTGGTGTCTGCTGCACCACATGCCTAATCCGGTGTGGTCATCCAAGCATCTCACTTTGGCTTACAAATGTTTCAAAGTCTGCAAACTTATTTTTGTGTTGACAATCACATGAATGTGGATAAATGTTAATCGAGGTTGTCAGGTCTAAATACACATCCAAATGCTTATCATGGTTGCTTTCAACCGGAACGGTGAAGTTTTGGCATGCTATAAAAAGAAACTTTTTTTGTAACAAACCCAACTTACACTTCATCCCTTTTCCCTGTATCATCTGAAAAATTGAACTTTTGCAAAAATTATACTGGGTAATAAACCTAAAAATACCACTTAAGTTCAGCTCAGTTGGCATCTTGTGCCAGAATGCTGGGATATAGACTCATTAAAAAAAAAATTGTTGGGCATCTGGGAGGTCTGCAGAAATTTTCAAGCCGGTGTAATTAATTATTGAAGTCATTCAGACTGGGTGGCATTGGGGCTGCAGAGATGTTAGTCCATTTTGCAAAGCTGACTACTGTTTCTCTGCATCTTTAGGCACTACACTTAAAAATCTATCCTATGGGGGCTTTGCTTTTTCATCTTTGGTGTGACGATCTGCTCTAAAACAGCACCTGATGTGTTGTTAATGGAGCCCTTCGGGTGTTTGGTTGCTCACCTGAGGGTTCCTTGGGTGCTCACGGACCAAGACCCTGGAGCTTCTGGAGCAGGTTGGGCTGGTCATTGATGTCAACCCCAAAAAATACCTCTGGCTCTGCCTGGTACGGAGCAAAGCCTGGAAAAGGGAGGGTGGTGAAAGCAGCCATCTCTGCAGCTGAGTCCCTTTGGCAGGTTCATGCTGGGCGCATCTGTAAGCACTTTGGCTTTGTTCCTGGGCTGGGATTGAAGGTTTTGAGCAGAGGCAGCTGGCTCTCACCATGAGGGGCTGGGGAGGAGAGAGCAACCAAAGGCAAATGCAGCCACAGGGGATAAATAGAGGGAAGCACAGGGGTGTGCTGTGTCTGAAAGGAAGACCCTCGCCTTGGTTCCCTGCCTGATACCCCACCTGGCACGCAGTGGTGATGGGCACGAGATAATCCTCCCCTTGAAGTAAGTGTCGGTGGAGGGGAACCCTTCCAATCCCCCATTGCTTCGGGTGTTCAGAGGAAGCAGCCTGTCTGCTGTTGGTTGTGGTGGCTGATGCTCTTCCAGGATCACTCCCCTCCTTAAAGAAATCAATTTGTGAGTCTGGTGCAAGTGGAATGTGACAGACTGGCAGCGCTGGAGATCAAGCCCTGTGCATGTTCCCAGATGGACATCCCTGCCCTGCCATCACTGTGCCTCACGCTGATCCAGAGCAGTGCCTGCAGCCGGAGAGCGTGGTTCAGCCCTCGGGCTGCTCGGTCCCAGTTCCTCTTGGCCCACCTGCTCAGCGGGCAGCTGCTGTTGCCCTCCTCTCCTGGAAACCACAGGGATTCACTTTACTCTGTGTTAGTTTTTGGGGGGGGGGTTGTCCCCTGGTTTGGCTTTGCCTTCACCTTGGGCAGATCTCTAAAGCCGCTGCAGGCTGTCTTTGCACATGGTATTTGAGGCTTGACCCCATGAATGCTTTAAATCTTGTAGAAATCATTTGGGTTTGCTTAGGTAGTCTTCCTACAGCTTTGCAGGTTTTCTGTCTCTCCTGGCTGCAGATTTGCTGTAGCCGTCAGGGTGGTGGTTAGTTATAGTCCAGAGAAAAGGGAACAAGTGGTGAAGCATTTCACTGTGGGCACAGTGTTTTAATTGTGAATCAGGTGTTGGTGGCAAAAAGCTGTTGAGCAGTAACTTGTTGGAAGGAATGGGGTGCTGAGATGGTTCCACGTTTTGGGGTTCCCTGAGGAAGCAGCTCATTGAATGTCAGGCTCAGGCAGCTGGACGTCCCCACGGCTGAGCCTGGTGGGTCAGGCAGGATGGGGAGAAGCAGTTCCTGAAGTGTCACACCATCGTTGGCTCTCCTCCCTCGGGGGTGATGTGCCTCCTGCTTCCCACCCCGTGCAGCCCAGTCCTGCAGGAGATGCTGGGAAGTTGCAGAGTGCCCTTCTCCAAGTACATCAGCCTTGAGAGTTGTCATCACCCCTTGGTGGATGGGTAGAGACTCGAACTCCCTGTGCAGCAGTTCTGGCTTGGAAGAAGGAAGGAAAACTTGAACCACTCTGAATCTGTTGCTACAGGGAAAGTTGGCTCTGTCTGTCTTTGCAGGGATGTGCTGCTTTCCTTGATGGTTTTTTTGGTAGCAGGCTTTTTCTTGGAAGGATCTACAGACTTCCCCTTAGCTTGTTCGGTTGGCTGTGCCAACTGGACTGCAGGAGCGAAGAGAAGTATTTCAGGATCTGCTGTTGGTACAAGTCGTACCATGAATACTTGCAGAGGAATGTCCTGGCAAGGTGACAAGGATTAGGGTTTTTTTTCTCTTCTATATATATTTTGGTCTGCAAAAGACATGAGAAAAACTGGGTTGACTGTTAAAAGGGAGGTGCCAGTGAGGTGAGGGGTCTGAAAAATCAAGGAACTGGATTTTTCTGACTTTTTATAAGCGTTACGATTTTAGAGCAAGATTCCATATTAACACAAGAATGCCGGGGTGGATAATGGCTTCTCTGGCAGAAAACATGGCTGTAAATAAGCGGTATGCATGTTAACGCAGTATATTCCGCCTTTATCCAGAGTAAGATGAGTCACTATTTTCATAGGAGATTATTTTCCCAGTTCATGAGACCATCCTCCTTTTTCGGAGCCTTTCTGCTTAGCAGTCATGAGGAGCTTGAAGAGTTTGCCCAGTGTTGAGGTGAAGTACGACATTTAGGATATGTTAAGCAGCTGCCGTGTTCCTGCAGCCATCCGAGATAGCCGTGTGCAATATAGTATGAGAGCAGGCCTAATTACTGTGCTTATTGAATGTGATTAATCCTGCTGGCTGAGGAGCCTGGGGAGCGGTGGGAAGCCGGGGCAGTGTGCATGGCTGCTGGAAATCATGTGCAGCTCTTGGTCTTCATCTGTGCTGGACCAAAAGGCACCAACTGCTCCCGAGTTAACAGTGCAACCGATCTGATTTTATTTATGGTCTTTAATTAAGTGTCCATTTTTAAAGGTGACTCTTTTCTCGGGAGTTGAGCAGTGGTGCGGCTGAAAATCCCTATGAGCATACATCTTTGTGTCTTTTCACGCTTGAAAAGATGTTCTGGGAGCCGAATTTTTTTCCTCCCTGTAAATGAACATGGGAAAATAACGGGAAAGGGTAGATGCTGGTGTGTAGACACTTGGTGACAAGCCTTGTGGGCTGTGGGCATGTCCACGGGTGGGCACGGAGGGTGACCAAGGCTCCACAGAGGAGATGTGGAGACATTTGGCTTTATGGAATGGTCCAGCGTGCCCTGGCGTGTGTGTGGTGTGAGGGGAAACCTGGGCTTTGCCTTGGCTGGGATGGAGGGGTAAAAGTTCATGAAGCAACTTTCCCCGTCCATAATTTTGAACCAGACTTATTTTGGGGGAGGAAAGGTGATCTTGCAATGCAGCAGGCCTGGTGAGATGTCCCTGAAGCCGTTAGTTCAGGGAGTGCTCCAGCCACCCAGGACTGCCAAGGGGGCTTTCCTGTGGGGCTCCAGGTTTTGGATGCCTGGAGAAAGCACATGGGGGAGCTTGTGGAGGGACACAAATACTCCTTCTCCTCCTCTTGAGTGAGGCAGTGCCATTGTGTGGCACAGTGTTAAAGCTTCTGCTGGTCTTGTCCATGAATAATTCAGGCTCTGTGTAGGGGGATCTTCAATATGCAAGTTTTAAGTAAAGCATCTAAATTGCAGTTGGCTTGGAAGAAGTTGGCTGAGGGGGTTGCGCAGGGGCGGCTGAGGCACAGCTACCTGTCCTCACATGGGAATGCACAGCCGGAGCATCACGAGGATGCCTGTGGGACCGCCTGGTCGCAGGCGCTCGGTCAGTCTCGCGAGGACCTGGGAGTCCTCGAGCTGGACCACGTGGTGAGCGAAGCATCCTGCTCGAGGCTGTCCCACACCTTTGGCTTGTGAAGACTCAATCCTGCTGCTGGCAGACGTCGCTGAGGGCGTGGGAGCTGCACCTTCCCCACCCAGACAGGCTGCTCTTCCCGTGGCCTCTGTTGTTAAGTCACGATGGTTTTTCTTGCTCTCCACCTATATGACAGAGGGAATGTATCAGCTGGCTCTGTATGTGGTTTTCTAGCTGCCTGGTGGCAGGTTTGCTCCTACAAACCCTCCAGTTTCTCTCTTTAACAGGTCTCAATTTGCCCAGTCTCCCACTCTGGCTATCATTAGCTGTAAAGGGGTTGCTGAAACCTCTGATAAATCTTAGCGTTGGCTATAAATAATTCACTTCGGCACTAGTGGTTTTCTATATTACTTGCTCTCAAAAGCATTTTATTGTCTGTCTGTACCTGTGGGGGCTGGAGACTTTTTTTTAAACTTATTTTTGGAGACAATGTTGCACCAAACCATCTCAGCCAGAGGAAATAAACAGCTGCGGCGAGGCTATCATTTACCTTGGTTCTGGCTCCAAGATATGGCGAGAGCCAGTTTTCCAGCCTGGTTATGTTGTTTGGCCCCATGATGTAGGGAGCAATATTTGTGGATGGGAGCAAAATTTAAAACGTGCCCTTGCTGGGAAGTTTGTGGGAGCTGGCTCAGAGTTGCTGCTGGTGTTTTGAGCCCTTGGTGCAAGAGGCACGTCCCTGTGAAGTCAAGCTGGGTTTGCTGGATATTGCAGAAGAGCAGTCGTTCCTCCTGCTGTCACCTTCTGCTGCTCAGCTGATGGAGAAACGGGAAGGTTTGAAGAGCAGGGGAGGGTTGTGCTGCTCTGCAGAGCCAGGCCGTGTGCTCCTGAGGTGGGCTGATGGGCTGGGTTGGTCCTCTTTGACCTCCAGAAAAGTTTGTACTCGTCCATTGATTTGGCTTCAACAAAGTAAAGAAGATAAAGTTAAGATCCATTTAGATTTCATCGGGGCTGCTTTTACAAACGCCAAGGGCAGCTCAGGATCTGTTGTTCGATCCTCTCTCCCAGAAGAGAGATGCTCTCAGCTCCCCCTATACCCAGCTAGCAGTCAACCCCTTTTTTTTCAGCCCATCTTGGGCTCAGCTGGTTCTGGTGTAGGTATAACACAGCAGATGTTTCCCAGTGACCCGCACGTGCTGGAGTGAGTCACCGGTGCCCTGCAGTTGCTGTAGGATGTTAGCTGCTCGCACCTTGCTAACACCCGTGTGAGTCTGCTGAGGAAACGGCCCCGGTGAATGAGTAACGCGGCTCTGCAGCTGGTAGGGTGCGATTAGTTTGTCAGATTAGTAATAAACCAAAGGTCTAATCTTGGGTTATATTGGTTTTCTGGACTCAAACCTGCCCAAAGCAGAGCTGTGTGTGGATGGTTGGATGTCGGGGCAAACCCTTGGCACCCAGCCTCGGTGCGTCAGCAGATCTCACACTGCTCCACTGCTTTTAAGTAGTTTAGTGTTTGTGGCGAAGGACTCCAGGTGAGGACTAACCTGCCCCACTTCATAATTAATGCTGGCATTTAGTTTATTTCGTTTTCCCTTCAGCAAAGTAGGAATCTCTGGAATAAACCAGCCAGGTGGGAACTATTTGGAAAATGCAGCAAAACCCCAAAGTTGGTGTAATGGGAGGGATTTTCAGGCAGGGCTATTTTTATGCTGACAGCACCGTCATTGCTCTATAAAAGCCTGTTGTAAAGAGCTTGCTGCAGGTGTGGATGTAAAGAGGGAAAGGTGTGAAGGCTTCAAGCAAGAGCATTTGTATTTGCAGCCAGGACAGGCTGAGCGGGTTGTGTCAGGCAAAGCAATCTCGGGAGCGGCTGGAAATTCCAGTGGATAAAGTTAATAGGAGTTCCAATGGATGTGGAAATGGAAATAAAATAGCACCCTATAACATTGCAGCTGCTTTCCCCGGCGTGGCCCCTGCCTCGCTGTAAGTAACTGCCTTTGTAAAGCTGAGTGTTGCTCTTATCTTAAAAATAACGTGTTTTTTTTCTGAGCATAGCAGTCCTGTCGGATTGAGTTGGGTTCCTGACAACTGCAGAGGTCTCAGAGCTGTCCCGTGTCAATTAGCAGCTTCTTGCTAATACTGCCTTAAAAGGGGGGAGGGGGGGAGGGGGAAGAAGTGAAAATAAATATATCTGATTTTTAATTGCCTCGGTACAGCAGAGCCTTGGGTGTTGGAATATTTTAACACCTGCCCAGCTCAACAGTTGCTTATTGTTACTGGGTTTTACAGCAGAGCCCGAAATGTCGGCGTGCAGCTGCGGGCAGGGTTTGCACGAGGGGCTGGGACAAGCCAGCAGGAAACTTGAGAGGTGCCAGGAGATATTTCTGGGCTTGCTGAGAGACGCTGAGGATCATTGAGTGTGAAAGCGTTTGCAGGTGAAGCGAGCTGTGCTTCAATGCCAAATTTCAGAGCTGTTCTGCACCGAGAAGTTTGCTGCGTGAGCTGGGCGTTCGCGCTCTCGTAGGTTGGAGATTGGAGCGGCAAAGGCAGCGCCGGAGCCTCCCCGCTCTCCCGTCCCCTTTTTGCTGGGGAGGAGGAAGAGGATGAGCCAGATTCTGTTTCTGTGTGTCAGCAGCAAAGCTGCTGCCCAAATCCCAGCACCGGCCACCTGTGCCAAACCCACAGCAGCAGAGTTTGGCCTGCACATGCTTTGTGCCTGCTGTTGATGTTTAAAAAAAAAAAAAAAGAGAGAGAGAGGAAAAAAAAAAAAGAGAAACCCCCCCCCAACCTTTATCTTGTGTGCCACGCTGCTGCAGGGGAGGGCAGAGGGCTTTGCTCCAGGTGGTGCCCCGCCGAGAAGGTGGCTTTCACAGGGTTTCGTCCTCTCTCTGGATGCAGTCCAGAGCCGTTAGAGCTGCTGGAAAGACTCCTGCTGGCTTCAGAGGGCTCTGGGTTCGTCCCTTTTTGTCATCCTCGCCGAGATATTTAATTAGCTAGGTAAAAATTAACGTCAGCGGTTGCAGTTTGTGGGTGGGGGCCAAATGATGCACAAGACCCCCTGTCTTTTATGCTTGCTCTTGACAAAACGCATCCCCTCCCTTCCTCCCCTTCGAGCAGCTTCAAAGGCTGCTTAGTTTGTCCGTGTTTGGTAACTGGGGAGGATACTTCACCACGCAGCTCAGGAGAACTTGAACAGTCTTGTTTAAGGGGAAAAAAAAAAAAGCCATGGTTTTTTCCAAGCTTTGAATCTCCTGTGCTTCATTTTATTTTTATTTTTTTAGGAGACACTTCTGCCTGAAGTGTTAAAAACACACCCTTGGAGCTGCTGCAGCAAAGCTGATCCTTGGGCATAGTAAAAGGTTTAATGTATTTGTGTAGGATCCCTTTACAATTCCCTCAAGAGAATCCTGCTAGGAAAAAGAGCTACAAAAATTTTTTTATATTTAAAAATAGCAAAACCAAACCCAATTTCCAGGTATTACCAACCGCATCATGTTTAACAGGTGAAAGATATTTGAGCCCGATGTGACTCGTCGGTGCAGTTGCTATCACTGGATAATGTGCCTTTACAGCTTGCCAGGTCTGTGTCAGAGACGTGCAACTACATGTGGCTGGTTTCTTTCCTCCCCCATCCTGGAAAAATAAATCCCTACTGTCTAGCCACAGAGGAGTATGCATTTTTTTTTTTCCCAGCATATAATCTTTGGTATTCCTACAGAAGATGCTAAATATAAACAGTGGTGCAGGTACCTTTTGACTAAATAAGCCAAACGTGGCAGAAAGGAGCTCCGCCTGGTCTTAGGGGCCACAGGGGGATTTATGGGCCAGATTGGAAGATTTTCCGAGCTTTGGCTTTTTCTGGCCAGCCCGACCCATGTGGCATGACGGGGAAGGCTCAAACCTGCAGCCTCATTCTCTTTGCCCTGGTGTAGGGACAGCCACGCACCGCATGTGGTGGGACAGGAGATGGCAGCGGGGCTTTCCAGGTGACACGACAGCGGTGCTGAGGAGGGGGACAGCAAGGTGGCCTGTTGAGCTTTTAGGGTAGCTGCTCCCCCCAGGCCGATGCCTGGTTCTGCCTGCATGCAGTGAGCACTCCAGGAGCTGGACCGTGCCCAGCAACAGAGCTATGGAGTTGTGCCTCCTGGGTCTGCAAAGACCTGAGATGTTTGAGTCCAGGGCCACCTGGCCTCCCTTTGTGCCTCCTTCTGGGAAACGGGCAGAAGTTGAGCCCTCTGTCCTCTTTGAGTGGCTTGCAGTCATAGAGCAGGGGAGAGCAGAAGTGGTTTGTTTTCTAAATGCTCCTTTCTCTTTGTGTCCAGATCTCAGGAGTTGCATCTGAGAACTGAGGCGCATTCCTATCTCTCTGACCTGACCAAGCCGTCGGACTTGGAGTTCATTGAAACCAAGAGACCACGCCTGGATCTGCTGCAGGACCCCCTGATGCGGCACTCACCTCTCCTGAACCAGAGCCAGCAGGGAGGGACAGAGGATCCCTCAAAGGTAAGGGAACAACAGCCTGGGATGCTAGCTGGTGTGGGGTCTGCGTTTTGGGATCGTCTTGGCTTGTGTAGAGCTACCTTTGAGGCTCTGAGTTGCTACTGAAATCAGTGTACATGGCCTGGTCGTGTTCGATGATATTTGCAGAGATGGGGTGACCTCTTTGGAGAAACAGAAGCGTATCAGCTTTCCCCATCACTGTTCCAGTCATGGGCTTGCATTTACTGGGCTATTAGATGCACCAGAACAATTTGGAAGCTCCTGTAGGCTGAATTAGAGATGGTCATGTCTGGCTTTTCTGGGTACTGTGCTCTGATTTGATTTTTACTTGACCTTTCTCATTTATCACATCTCTATTTAATATTGGTGTTTGAAGGGTTTGAATCGGTTGCTGGTGGTTGTTTAATATAATCTTCTGCAGGAAAGGCTCCCTTGTCCTAGTCTCATTTAACAAAGCAAATTGTTTACTTGCAATTGTCCCCTCTGCACATATAATAAATGTTGCAAAGAGAAATCCCTTGCTTCTGTGCCTATTTGGATGTACTTTCATGCTCTGTTGGGGTAAATTGTATTTGATTTTTACCTCAAGCTTGGACATATTCCTGGTTGGCAAGAAAGTCTCGCTGGGTAAACAGGCTGGGAGCAGCTGGCTTGCGCTGCCAACGCGAGCGCCAGCACTGTGAGCACCCAAGGTTAATGCAGCTGCAGGCTGGGCTGCGGGGATGTCTGAGCCCTCAGTGAAATGCCAAGGAAGTCAGCATCCTTACCTGGGACACGGGATGGCTTGCTGTGCGAGCTGACGGAAATACCGCCTGGGCAAGGAAGCTCTAGCTTGGGAGTGCCGGGATATTCAGACTTCTCTTGTCTGTACAGTACTGATGGGCCTTACGTGAGATGCCTCTGACCTGTCTCGAGTGAGAAGGACATTTAATTTTGAGGTAGTTGAGATGCCAAGGAAGGCCTGGCTGGATCTCCTGGAGGAGAGGGCTGCAGGGACTGCCAATGAGGAATGGTGAGCTGATGCTGGAAGGGACGGAGCAGGTCTTTTTTAAGAGCTATGTTTGAACTTGGAGGCCGCGAGAAATGCACCAGACACATCAGCTTGCTCTCCTTTAGCTCTTGACAGTGTGTTGCCTTGGGAAAGGTGCCTCTGAGATGCTGTGGCTCTTCTGTGTCCCTTCTGTGTCCCATCGTTGCTGCTTCCTCCACAAAGCATCTTAATGAGGCAAAGCTGTGACCAGCCATGAGCCTGCTCTCTGTGCCACTGGGATGTGTTGTGGTGGCTCTGAACCATAGAGTATACTGGTGGGATGCTGGGTTGGGTGGCTGATGGGGAAAATAAACTGTTGGCTATGGAAAAAAAAAAATAAAAATCCCTATCCAAAGACGTGAGGAAAGCAGGATGGCTTTTCTGTCTGCACATTATTTCCATCAGCAGTTCTGTTCTGCTTCTCACCGGAAAACCACGTATTGTCTCAGCTGTTTGTTTCTAATAGGCAAAGCTGCTCTTGAAGCATTAGTTGGCGAGTTCAGGGGCTGCATTTGCTTCTTGGTCTGTGACACGTTTCCAAGAATTAGATGCATTTTATGGGGCTTAAAACATTTGTTAATGAGAGAGAGAGAGAAAGCTATGAGATACAACTCAGCAGACAAGATTATGCTTTTAGTGGAGCCATTTGTAATTTCAGGGTCTGGAAGAAAGAAAAAAAATGTGGTGTTCCTCTCCTGGTGAGAGCTTAAGTGGAGCTGGGATTAGTTGCTCAAAACTAGCAGGGGCTGTTTCCAGAATGGATTTGATGGAGCTCACTGCAAGACTGGGATGATCTCAGTGCTGTTAAGTGGTTGGGAGCAGAAGGCAAGTCTGGAGTGTAGGACCACTGCTCTGAAGGTGTATCTGCCTTTGCAGCTTGGGAAATTGGATTAATAGCAGTCTTTTGGCTTTATTCTTGCGCAGTTGTTGTCAGACTAGTCTATAAACTGCTTGTGGGCATTAAGGTCGTGGTAAAGCTCCTGCAGCTGATCCGTGCACTGCCCTGAGCCTCAGCGTGTCAGAGGAGCTGTTCTGGGTGTGCTGGTCTGGAAGATACGCAAAGAGCTGAGACTGGTCTTTGGCCACAAGCTCTGGACACTTGCATATCTGGGCTATTTACACATTTAAAACTACCTCTTGTATCCACGCTAAGCCACCAATGGTTGAATTTGGCACTGTGCTCTGATGGTGGAAATCACCATCCAGAATAGCTGATAAAGACCTTCCCGAAAGGCTCTTTGCTGAGCTCCATGACTGCTGTTAGCTCCTCTGCCTGGCTGATGTGGCCTCCTAAAACAATGCGTCATGATGCAGCCCGTCCTGGTGGCTAATGCCCACTCTGCTCTATCCCTGTGGACACTAGCCCGTGCTTCACTTGTAGCAGCGCTGTGTTTTTCCTGCTTGCTCCTCATGTCCTCTGTTCTCAGGGGTTATTCTGCAAGCTTCCTCCCGCTCTGCAAGTTGCGTGCAGAGCCAGAGGTCTCTGTGCATTTACGAGCTGCGCGTGTCCTGGAGCAGTGGTACAGGCGCGGTGGCAGGACGCGTGTCCCGGAGCGGTGGCACATGCGTAGCAGCAGGACATGTGTCCCAGTGACCAGAGCTGGAGAGAGAAATTTGCTGTTCCATCTGTGCTGCTGACTCAGCACCTGACGAAGTCATTCGATGCTTTATCTAGGGCAGCTTTGCAAGGCGGGTGAGCTCTTTGGGTGAGATGCACCACGTGAGCCCAGTATTACTAAACACGCTGGCGGTTGTTTAGACAGAGTATCCTAGGAGTTGGTCGCTTACCCCTTACCCCATTCCATATTGTTGCAGTCACTGTGTGGGGAGGAGCACAATTTACTCATCCAAGTAACAGTGCTAGGACTGCTTTTCATGGCGATTTTGCAGATTGAGCTAATTTTCGCACAGTAAAGAGCTTCACAAAACTCTCAATAGGAAGGGTAGGGGTTTGCTTATACGCTCTGGGTGCCAGCCTGGCTGTCCCAAGGGACGTAACCATAATGCAGCAGCAATGGATGTCCCTTTCAGGCAGTGGGTACCTGTTGGTCTCTGGTTTCAGAGCAGCGGTGGAGCTGAGATGCAGAATCAGGTCTGGGGTGGTGTGAGTTTAGCATGTCCCTGAAAACTACTGGTTATATGGGGTTTACCAACCTTCAGCCCAGGGGAGAGAAGTTAACATCATTCCTGCACGTTTCCAAGGCCTTTGTTTTGGGCCGTAATCTGTGCTGTGAACACAGATGAAGTAATTGATGTGGCAGATGCTGGTGATGGGTTCCAGATTTTTTCCTGTTACCACCACCAGAAGAGAAGTGGATCTCCTAGGTCTTTTATTCCTCATCTACCTCTCCCAAATGTGGCGTGAGCTGGGCCCTTTTACCCCATCCAGGATCACTGCAGCCTTGCTCCAGGCGAGGCTTGGTTTGTAAGGAGAAGGTAATGTCTTCTGTTAGATCAGCGCATTAGAGCTGGAGAAAACAGATGCGCTTTTGGGCAGTGTGCCTTTCAAAAGCAGCAGCTTTATGGCTAAATCTCAGTTGGTCTAGTAAAAGATATTACCTTTCCTTATGAACCTCGCATTGCTTATATCCTCGAACACTGGTGTTTCTTTTCAAGCTGGGGAAGAGAAGGTTGTTTTCTTGCCTGCTTTCCCCTGCTTGAGCATCTTTTTTCCTGCGAGAGCGGTTGCTATCACGTTGCTGCAGCGCGTGTAGTCCTGTGCTGCTGGACGGCGCCAGGAGGGCTCGGGCGAGCTCAGTCTGCTGGAGGAGAAATGAAATCTCCCTGTGCCCTCTGTGCCAGCGGGGGCTGACACCGCCTCCGAGAAGGTGCTCCCTTGAGCTGGCTGAGAATAACCAGGCAAAACTAAAGCAGGACTGTTTTTTCAATCACTGCAAGCCTGGATGTGAGATTTGCTGGCAGAGCTGTCGTGGTGCAGATTTGCCGGGTGTGCTATTGGCAGAGATGCAGGAGCTGGTTCCCAGGACCCTCGGTGGCTTCTGCTTTCTTTCCGATAGAGAAAGTCACAGACCTCCATCGTGTAACAGCAGATAGGAGTAAACCAGACGGCTCCAGAGTAGGCCAGTAATATATCTGCATGATCCCCTGTCTCTGAGCATACGCGCGCAGCTGGTGCTGGCGTGTGATCCTGCCCCGCGGGGACGCTGAGTGTGGTGCGGCTGGTCAAGCGGCGCCCACTCGCCCCGCTCCAGAGCTGGAGGTTAGTTCTGCCTCTCCCATCTCTTCTTATTCCTGTTATGCTTCCACTTGTTCTTCTTCCCATTTCTGAGACTGCTTTTCCACCACGTACGTGGCTTGCTGCTCCTTCCTATAGGATGTGAGTCAGTTGTGATCTGCGTTTAGTCCCCTTGCAAGGGCTGGCTGGCTGCACTTACACATAGCTTATTGCTCCAGCCGGAATACGCTTATGGGGAGCCGTATGGTCCCACAGGTACGGGGCTGGGAGGAGGCTTAGGAAACCCGAACCTTGCTGCCATCTGCCCTGGCAGGCCGCTGGTCACCGGGTAAGTCTCTTCCCCTTTCTGTATCTCAGATTTCCCCATCTGTACAAGGGACAATGCCACTTCCCTCTTTTGTAAAATAATTAACAACTATTGATGGAAAAAAGGCTATTAAGAAGCCATGTGTTGTTGGGACTTGGACTCTGTTTTGCATTGTTGCAGGGTTTTAATTTCTTCCCTTTCTGCATGAGTGTTTTGTTGTGCTACGGACTAAAAAATGGAATAAGAAAAGGGAACGGGGGAGTCTTGGAAGAGACAGCACCAAGGCCAGGAAATATGTACAGCAAAGCAGAAATTAGGGCAAAGGGTATTTTGCTTTGATGCATGTTAATGTAGCTTTAAAAGCAATTAATTGAAAAAGGAGGAATTAACACATTTAAAATACCTTTTTAATGATGCATTGAAGCCAGCAGCATAAATGCCAAATTTCACACTGGCTGCCTGTTCCAGAG